GAGGACTTCTACATCAACCATGTTGCACATCCAATGATGTATGAGTAGTTCACCATATATCTATGGGTCCATCGTGATTAGCTAGATGGCTTCTCTCTCTCTATATATATATCTCTCTCTCTATCTCTCTCTCTCTCTCTCTCTCTCTCTCTCTCTCTCTCTGATCTTCAATACAATGTTCTCCTCGGAGATCGATTCGATGTACTCTTCTTTTTTGGTGTGTTTGTTGGAATCAGATAATTGTGGATTTATGATCAGATTATTCATTGAAAATAGTTGAGTCTTTTCTGAACTTTCTTATGCATGATTATTATAGCTTTGTATTTTCTCCAATCTATCTGTTTGGTTTTACCAACTAGATTGATTTATTTTTAATGGGAGAGTTGCTTTGTAGTAGGTTCAATCCTGCGGTGTCCTCGCCTCATTGCAGAAGGGGTAGCGAGACAAGTATTTGTATTATTGGCTCTAAGGAGAAAACGACGGGGTTTATTTATATAGTTTTGTTTTATGTTGTCTATATTATATCATCATACTTCATGCATTACTTTGTTTGTTATGAACTTAATACGTAGACAGGCAAGCGTAGAAGCACTCGTGAAGTGTAGTAATAATAGTAGATGCAGGAAGGAGTCAGTCTACTTGTCACAGACGTAATGCCTATATACATGATCATTGCCATGAATAACGTCATACTATGGGCTCTTCTATCAATTGCCTAACAATAATTCGCCTACCCATCCTATGCTATTTTTATGAGAGAGAAGCCTCTAGTGAAAACTATGGCCACCGGGTCTATTTTAATCATATTACAAAAACAAAAAATACCTTGTTGCAATTTATTTTATTTTATTTTATTTTGTAATTTATCTAACTACCATTGCCAGATTTAATCCTTGCAATTAATGAGTACAAGGGTATTGACAACCCTCTTGTCCGTGTTGTGTGCAAGTATTTGCTCTTGTGTGTAGGTACTGTTCACTAGATGTTTTCGTGATTCTCCTATTGGTTCGATAACCTTGGTTCTCACTGAGGGAAATACTATTCGCTACTATATTGCTTCACCCTTCCTCTTCAGGGAAAATCCCAACGTAGCTCACAAGTAGCAGTGTCTTATTGAAAATATGATCATTCAGGGTGCTAGGGTGTATGATCTGTCTGTAATTTGCACCACGTTCATGATTTTTTTGCCCCCCTTCTGTCGGCTAGACCTCCCTCTAGTTTCACCATCTCTAATCAGCTTTGGTCGGTGATACGTCTCTAACGTATCTATAATTTACGAAGTATTCATGTCATGTTTACAACAATTTTATATGGTTTTGGTATGATTCGAATGAAACTATCCCGGACTGACGCTGTTTTCAGCAGAACTAACATGGTGTTGTTTTTTCTGTAGAAATAAAAGTTCTTGGAACGGGCTGAAACTTGTTGATAATATTTTGGAACAAAAGAGACCCTTGAGGCTTCGTGGGAGGACTATAAGAGCCACGAGGGCCTCACTCACCACCTGGGCGCGCTCAGGGGGTGGCCGTGCCCTGGTGGTGAGTGTGCCCATCTTAGCCCCTTTTCACGTGATTCCAACTCTGAAAATTCTTATAAATTGGGAAACCACCAAAAGTTAACCTAGAACTTAGACTCCCCCGCCGCAAGCCTCTCTACCTTCGCGATCTCATCTAGAGCCCTTTTCTGGCACCCTGCCGGAAGGGGAAATCATCACCGGAGGCCATTTTCATCACCCCGACGGTCTCTATGACAAGGAGGGAGTAGTTCACCCTCGGGGCTGAGGGTATGTACTAGTAGCTATGTGTTTGATCTCTCTCTCTCTCTCTCTCTCTCGTGTTCTTAATTTGGCACAATCTTGATGTACCGCGAGCTTGTTAATATAGTTGGATCATATGGTGTTTTCCCCCTCTCTATCTTGTTGTGATGAATAGAGTTTTTACCTTTGAGGTTTCACTATTATCAGATTGAATACTTGTTGGATTTGAGAGCACTTGATGTATGTCTCATATGAATACCCATGGTGACAATGGGGGTATTATATTGATTCACTTGATGTATGTTTTGGCACTCAACTCGCGGATTCCCGAGGTGACTTTGGGGTAATCTATGCATAGGGGTTGATGCATGTTTCTGCCATACTTTCTCCGGTAGAAATCTTGGGGCACTCTTTGAAGTTCTTTGTGTTGACTTGCATATTATGAATCAGAAATTGTTTGATGTGCATCGAATAATCAACTCATGAATATTTGTGGTGACATTGGAGTATCTAGGTGACACTAGAGTCGGTTGATGCGTATATATGGTGTTATTTTAGTATGAACTCTAGGGCTGCTTGTGACACCTATAGGGATGGCTCAATAGATTGATCGGAAAAGATAAATTTGAGGTGGTTTTGTACCCTACAATTATTTCATCTTATGTTCTCTGCTGGATAAGAACTTTGGAGTGATTCTTTGTCACACGCTGAGGGATTGTTATATGATTCAATTATGTTAGCACCGTTGAGAGATTTCACTAGTTAAAGTATGAACCCTAGGCCTTGTTTTCAAGCATTACAATACCGTTTGTGCTCCATTTTATCACTTACTACCTTGTTGTTTTTTATATTTTTATGTTACAAAAACCTATATCTATTATCCATACTACACTTGTATCACCGTCTCTTCGCTCAAATAGTGCACCTATACAATTTACCATTGTATTTGATGTGTTGGTAACACAATATATTTCTTGTATTTGATTGTTGGGTTGTTTGAGAGAGACCATCTTCATCCTACGCCTCCCAGGGATTGATAAACCTTAGGTCATGCACTTGAGAGAAAATTGATATTGTCGTACAAAACTCTGTGCTTGGAGGCCGAACACGAGTCTACAAGAATAAGTTGTGTAGTAGACATCTGTAGGCTACTGGGCGAGTGTCAGATGTGGAAAATGCTTACCTCTCCGTTCCTTTATCCGTCGAGGAGATTGAGGCCATGGTTTCCTCCTCCAACATTAATTGTGCTCCTGGTCCAGATGGTTTCTCGATCTCCTTCTCCAAGAAGTTTTGGCCAATCTTGAGAGATCTGGGTTGTGCGACCATTCAAGGTTTCTGTCTTGGGACGGTGGATTTGTCTCATCTTAACTATGTCATTCTTTCCCTAATTCCCAATGTGAAAGGGGCTGACTCTATTTTGCAATTTCGTCCCATAGCTCTCATCAATAATTTTGCCAAGTTTCCGGCGAAAGGTTTTGCTTCCCATCTCTCTCCGGTGGCACATAGGGTGCTTAGCCCTTCGCGATCTGCTTTTGTGAAGGGGCATTTTATTTTGGATGGTATTCTTAGTCTCCATGAAATTGTGCATGATCTCAGGGTGAGAAAGACTAAAGCGGTTATCCTTAAGCTATATTTTGAGAAAGCCTATGACTCTGTTAGTTGGGGTTTCCTTCGCAGGGTTCTGTTGGCCAAACACTTTGATGGGGCCTATGTCCATTGTCTAATGCTATTTGTCACCGACAGTCACATGGTTGTGGTTGTTAATGGGATTATTAATAATTACTTTGCCAATGGTAGAGGCTTGCGGTCGGGTGATCCTATCTCTCCGATTCTCTTTAATTTTGTCGTTGACATGCTTTCGTGCATTTTGTCCCATACGGCTTCGACAACCCACATTTCTCCTGTAGTCTCTCACCTAATCCCTGAAGGGATTACTCGCCTTCAGTGTGTGGATGATACTATTTTCATGGTTGAGCTCAATGATCTCTACGCTGCAAATCCTAGTTTATCCTTTTGTGCTTCGAGACTCTCTCGGGTCTCAGACGGTCACGTCGGACGAGGCCTCGAGAGTTTCCCACTTGTTTAATTTTCAGTTGGGTTTCTTCCCTTTTAGATACCTTGGGCTCCCTATCGCTCCTTTCAAACTCTGTGCCAATGATTTTGCGCCCATTGTTGCTAAGGTTGCCAACCGTGTCATGTCGTGGTGCAGCTGATCAGATTCGCAAATGAAACGGTTTGAGGTCCAATCGTTGTGCTCTTTGTGATGCTTTCGAGGACTCGGGCCATATCTTTTTTGGGTATGTTTTGGCAAAGATTGCTTGGTGCTGCATCCGGTCTTGGATAGATGTTTCTTGGCCCCGCAATTCCTTCACCAAGCTTCGTTCTTTAGCGACTGGGCTGCAGGGGCCAAAATAAGTGTCTGTTCTGGGTGGGGTTCTTTGTGTTGTGTTGGGCGCTTTGAACCACTAGAAACAAATTCACGATTGAACATGTTTTCCGTAACAGACCCGCTGACTGCTTGTTCAAAACTTGTAGCAGTAAAAGTTATTGAGTAAGGAAGCTGATCGGGACACATTGGAGGTGCTAATTTCAAGAGTTTGAGCGTCTGCTTCTTCTCTGATCCAACAAGAGAATGCTGCCTGAAGTTTATCTCTATCTTTCGTCCTTAGGGTGTTGTAGGTTGTTGGCCTGCGCGCCGGAACTTGTCTGGCCAGCGTGCCACTTGTGTTAAGCTTTCGATAATTTGGATACCTTTTTATGCTCTAGTCTTATGTTGGGGTGCTTGTTGTTACTCTGCCTTGCGACTTTATTTATAGTCGGTGTGTGTCTTTTTTCTAAAAAAAAATCCCACCAAACTATGCCTCAAAGCCTCCACCGAATTTTCATCAAAGAGGGCCATCTGTCCTCCTGCTCCCGATCGAGGGGTGCCGCCCCTACCGCTGGACAGAAGAGACCGAAGGTTTCATGATATAAACGAATTCTGTTCATCACAATTCTCCGCTCAAAACAGAAGCACGGCTGCACTGTAACCGAAACACAATCTTGGATGGTCATTTGTACAATCCAAAACGGCGTGTAGTTTACATGTATGCAATCTCAAAGAACAAACCAGCCAATCAAAGAACCACCAAAGAATGGTGTGAATAGCTAACAAACTCCCGCGGCAGGCACCAACCATTGGCAGGGAACCAGCGACGTGCATATGCTCGCTCGCTAGACAGTAGCCACCTCCCAACTCGGTCAACTAATCCTTCTTCTGGTGGGCGTGCACGGGCACGGACACGGGTGACGACGGCTCCACGAAGCCGACGCGGGGCGAGGGCTCGCCGTCGAGCGGCAGGTCAGAGAGCAGCGCGACCATGCGGCGGGCGCTGAGGGAGCGCGCCGGGGGGAGGCAGAGGGTCTTGGTGGTGGAGAAGACGGAGGAGGACTGGGCGAGGATGAGGTACACCAGCGCCTGCACCAGCACGAACAGCCCCACCTTGAGCAGCGCCCCGTGCTGGCTCACCATCTCGAACTCCATTCCGACTCCCGAGCTTTGATCACACAACACCAGCGAAGACTCACCAAGTTTCTTCCCTGAGACCAATCGAGAACACTATGCGCTTGATGTGTTTGTGAGGTCTGGAGGCGCGGGGCGCGCGCTTATATAACGGCGAGACGCCGGTTTGACCGCTGCCGGGGTGAAGGTGCAATGCAAAGATGCTTCGTCGATCGGTCGCCAACTTAGGCCCTGCTTGGATTGTCGGTTTGCTCCTAAATACCCCCGTAATCAAAACAGACCTTCAGCCGTCGTTTTCAAATTGGGCGGAAATAACGCAGCGGCCGGTAAAATACACCTGTAGATTAAATCCGGGTGTATAAATTTACACCCAATCCAAGCGGGGCCTTAGGGTGTGGAGTTCGGGGTGGTTCGGCGAAAGGCAAGGCCAGTTCCACCGGGTTGGATGGAAATCGCTCGACCTGCTCCGTGCTCTGCTCACCGCTCACGTGTGCAGAGATTATAATATTACTTGAGTCGCTCTCACGGAAGTGCTCTCAAGAAATAGAATAATATTGCTTCTATTTTGTGAAAAGATAATATTATTTATAGGGATAAGTATATTTTTCGTCCCTCAACTTTACCGATAGTATTGAAATGGTCCCTCATCTATAAAACCAGAAAAATCTAGTCCCTTAACTATTGAAACCGGATATTTTTCGTCCCTCAAATGGATTCAGGTGGTTTTGTGCTGATGTGGCATGGTTTTGACCACAGAACTCGCCACATCATCTTCCAACTCATCTTCATCTTCTTCTTCTATCTTCTATCTCTCACCCAGGACGGAGAAGAATCCGATGACACATGGTTACCATGGGCATGTCTTCAGGGCGTCTCCACACGGGAGCTAGCGATGGCTGCGAGTGCCTGCTGCTGGTCGTACACCGTTGTGATGGCGCGCTCCACTCCGCAGTTGTCAAAGTAGTGCACGGTGGCCATGTGCCACTGCCCACGCCCTCGCACGGCAGCGCCGGCGCATTCATAGGGAAACAGGGTCGCACATCACGAAGGGCGCCATGCACATGCCATCTCGGGCTCCTGCGTTGCGGCTCCAGCAGTCTCAGCACGGCTGCACGGCTCGCCGGACCTGTTGCCGCTGCCGTCGGCACGGCGGGGCAGGAGCGGGAGAGAGAGGATATCGTCAGGGATCAGGCTTGGAACCAGAGCGGGAGTTAGCTAGGGGCAGCAGCAGGAGCAGTTGTCAGGCTCAGAACCAGCGCGGGTGAATCAACAAATCAGCAAGGCTCGAGACGAACCTTTAGCAAACATAGCCAGCTTTTGCGCGCGTGCCTACGTTGTGTTTCTAGCCGACTGGTTTGTGTATATGTGCGTGAGACTTGGGCGTTTCCGGCCGGGGCAAAATCAATTTGCTTGGCTAGCTTCGCACAGGAGGATCGATCAAGTTGCGTATGGATGTATCATTAGCCGCGAAGGAAGAGGTGGACGAGTACGAAGGTGAGGCCACGGCTGCCGGAGGCAGCGGAGCAGACGTGCGGTGAGGTGCTTCCCTGTGCATAGAGAGAGAGGGGAAGAAGACAAAGGTGAGCTGGACGACGATGTGGCGAGGTCAGCGGTCAAAACCATGCCACGTCAGCACAAAACCACTTGAAGTCGTTTGAGGGACGAAAAATATCCGGTTTCAATAATTAAGGGACTAGGTTTTTCTGGTTTTGTAGTTGAGGGACCATTTCTAAACTATCGATAAAGTTGAGGGACAAAAAATATACTTATCCCTGACGGAGCCTCGCTCCTGAAAGCAGAGCAGAAGGAAATTTAAATTGGCAATACGTAGGTCATTTTTCTCGATGAGGGTCAACGTACTGTATTGATTATCGAAGTAATTCCCCACGAGTCAAATGAGAAAAAAAATCTGTAACTTTTTTTTAATTTGACATGCAGCGTTAGCTGAATCGAATATGAATGAAAAACCGAATCATTTAGGCATTTACCTTCCGTGAACCTTTGCCTTTTTTAATCATCTCGCATCTACGATTTATAGCTCGCGAGATTTTGGACAAACCTCACCTACTTTTCTTTGCTCAAATGAATCGAGACAGTCATTCGATATGATTGTTGGTTCTTCGCAAAAAAAAAGATATGATTGTTGGCGATCGTAATGATAATTTTTTATGAAAAAAATGATACTTATAATTACTGGATGTTTTCATGAACAACATGTAAAGTATTTATAATCAACATCTCTCATTTACCATCCCTTCATCTCGGGTGCAACTACAATAGCTTGATCAAACAACATCCTATTAGAAGATAATCACAAAGTGTGCTTTAACTAGAAACACAACAATCAAGTATTAGGCAATCTCATTGAATGTAATAATATAAATTCAACAATAATAAATAACATGATATAGTTTAACAATAGATTTTTCTCTTAGCATGGTAACCACTCCAACGACCATTGCGTACAACTTTTCGACCTTTCTGGATCTCTAACATTAGGTAGCCCCATGTAAATTGCATACATGTAATTCTTGTAAATATTTTGCCCAGTATGCTTTTAACATACTGTTTTCGATAAAAAAAAGCTAGTTAAGTGAATAAAGCACTGATGGAGATAATATTGTGAGTTGGTTCATGGTAAGATCATACCAACTTTCACAAGTATATGAACAACTCCATCTACGAGATTCTCTAAGGAGAAAAATCCTATTCTGCGCATATAACAAACCTATATTATATATCAGTACGAATTAAAGCTTGAAATTCCACTTGAGTTTATATTTTGTTCAATCCATATACATGGAAGATAATATTGCCTTTACAAATTTGAACTTATAACATTATTAGCAGCAAATATTGCATCATACTAAATTAAATAAGCCAAACTCAGGGCATGAAATTATGCCTGGATCATGTTCTACTGAAGAAGAAAAAAACTAGGGTTTATAGATCTGATTCAAGTGGAATAAGGAGGGATCAAACGAATGAATGAATCACACAACATTGCATTGCTCTAAGGGAATCCGTTAGCCTCCTTCTTGCTGGCGCCGAGGAACCCCATTTGGCTATTTCCTCCACCCCCACCCTCAATATCTTCTATAACATGTCCTTTGTCGCCCTTGACGTCTTCTCGGCTGCCAGTACCGTCGCAAAGCCATGTCAACCATGTTTCACTTCACGCCTCACGTATCACATGTACTACTGCTCAACCATGCACATGAGTGAAGATGGTAGAATTGAACTTTTCTGTGTATTTTTTCTTTGTTAAGGACCCCTTATAAATGGACATTGCCGCTCGTGACCACTGAATGATCATCTAATCTTTACCTGATTGGAGTGTCAGGGCTCCTTTAGTTCAAAGGAATAGTGAAGGAAAACATAGGATTTATTTTTTAAGTCGGTCACTAGGGATCTCGATTCATTAAAAAGAGGTTGCCCTATTAATTAACAGAAAACTAGGCTAAAACCACCACAACATCCCACACAAGGCAACATTGACTGACCTGGCCACTCACATGAAGATACGAAAACGTCGCAGAGAAGAAACACAAAGTTGAGGTCGTCGCCAAGTGCAGTCGTCATCACTCCTCCAAGAGCCTCTGCCTCTAGCATCGACTTCCAGCAATGGAGCCCTTGTCCCCGAAACGTCGGAACCCATGTCGACCCATGCTAAACAACCGGTCATAGGTGTAGGTGTCCAGACAGCTCCGATTAAGAAGACCATAAAAACCCAGGAAAAATGGATAGCGCTAGCTCCAACCAACACCTCCTCGAAGACCACCAGCCACATCTCATCGTCATCGCCTAGGTGTGTCTAAGGCAGCTCTCACTGCGCGACGATATCACAGACATAGAAGAGACATGTTGAGCACGTCGAGAAACAACCGACAATCGAAGCCCTGCCGCAACCCTACACCGCAGGCCATCATCATTGTTGCTAAACTATATGCTGCACAACCACATTGCCGGTTGGGCACCCGCCGACTGTAACACCGTGAGCATCTTAGCACATAGAGAGCACAAACGGGATCCAAAGGTCTTCAGGACGAAGCCCCAAAGAGTGAAGCGACAATGCCAACACCATTGCTGGACCTGGCCGGGCCTTAGGTTTTCACTCGAAGAACTGGATCCGAGGGTATATGCCGGGGGTGGACTCCACAATGGCACCTCCAAGGAGGTGAAATGATGTCCATGGACGCCGAGCCGGCAAGCTTTCGCCCGTTGCACCGCCCAACACCACACACCCACGCACCACACCTCCGCTAGCTGGCGCACATCCCACGTAGCCACCACACCATGACCATGTAGGAGCCACCACAATCCCTGCTGCCGGCCAAAAATGCCGACGAGCCAAATCCGGCTGAATCTGTCATCCCACCGCCGCTACACCACCAAAGTCCACCATGGATTAGCTCGGCGGCCTCCTCCGGTGACAGCAAGGGGAGGAAGGGGGCGGTATGGCATGGTCTAACGGTGTTGACTCGGGTTCGTCCCGAGTCGCCCCAGAGAGGTGACGTGGGGCAGTGCTAAGATTTGTCATGCTGCTCTGTAGGTGCCAGGGATTAAAATGTAGGAATATGAATTTTTCATGCGATGCTACTATTCATTTCTTTGGTTTAAAGGAATGTGACAAAGAAGAATGATTCAACGCAGACACATTTGAATTCTAATATCCAACTGAACCTTTGTTTTCCAAATTTCTATACACCAAGAACGAGAGAAAATTTGTAGTCACATAATAACAACCTTTGACGTCCACTTGATCACCTCTGACGTCCGTGTCGTCTCCCCCGCGGGCGACCCGGACGTAACCGAGCCGCCGCCGCCAGAACCTACCTATCCAGCCTTCTCTCCCTCGCCACCGCCGGGCAAAGCCCGAGTGGCGTCGGCGGCGGCAGGGCCCCTTTCATTCCATCTCGCGACGTCATGGCTGCCGGGGGGCGCTCGGTCGAGGAGGTGGTAGTCGCTGCGGCGAGACGACGCTGGTGGATGCGGTGAGCACGCGGCTCGCGCACGGAGGCGCATGGTATGTGGGCTCAGGCTTTGCTAGAGTTGTCTGTCGCACTGCTGTGGCCGGCAGATCGTGGCCGTGCTCCAGCATGGTGCTTGGGCGTCGGCCTTGCGGCATGGATCTGCAGGGCATGTGGTGCGGGAGTCCAGCGGTAGGCGCCATCATCGCGGATCTGCCGGGCGGAGGCCTTGCGGACTCTGTTGATCTGATGGTCGCATGGCGGCTCACTGGTCGGGCGGCCGGATCCCGACGGCTCTAGAGACGTCATACGCTAGCGGTCATGGCGTGAGGTGGTTTCCCATGCCCCTCTCGCCAGATCCGTTGCGGATCATCTTTGCACGTGTCTCTTCCCATCGGCTAGTCCTGATCTCCGGCGGAGATGTTCTTGGCTGGCCCGGTGGGTGCCGGGGTGGGAGCTTATCCAGGGGAAACCTCTGGCCGGCGGCGGCGGCCACGTCGTCGATGACGCTCTGGGCGTCATTTCCCTCCTTGGTGGCAATGGCGAGGTCAACTCCCCCCTACTCCCTCCTCTGTATGTGCCCGGGTGAAAACCCTAGTTCTACATGAATGGGCGGCGGCATCATGACGTCGTTACCTCCTTGGAGGCGCCATCTTGGGCATTGAGACGGAGGGTGTGCTCGCGTGAGCACGGATGGTTCGTGGTGCGGCAGGTGGTGCGGTGTGGCATCTACCGTGTCGACGGCGGCGGGTCTCAGCAGCGTGGAGCAGCGGAGTCCTGGTGATGGACATGTGTTGATGGACGCGGGCAGGGTGATGGCGTTGTCTGGCGCCATGGTAACGATCTAAACCTGCGTGGAGCCGTCGCAGGGTGACGACGGGCAAGCCTGGAAAGATCTATGCAACGATCCTCCTGAAGATGTGACTGTGGAAGATGGCGGCAACAGACCCTAGAGCGTGCACATGCGGTGCGCGTTGAGGGACGCCTAGACCAGTTGGTGCTCTAAACCTGCCAGACGGGCGACTTTTGAGACCACTGGATTAGACGGTGTCTGTTGATGCGGTCAGGGCACATCTTTATGCTTGTAGGTGTAGCAACTTTGTTCGCCTTGAATGTGACTTTGCGTTGATCTTTGTATTTATTTTGTCAGTCTTTGTTGAATAAATTAATAAAAATGGTTGCATGCATCATTTTGATGTAAAGGCCGGAGGTAACCCTCCTTAAAAAAACATAATATCAACCTATCTAGCTATACATTTTCATGTGGTTTGACTTTGATTTGATCGTGGTTATTAGCATTTCTATGTTTTCGTAATTCCCATGAACCAAACACCGAGTCCACGTAACTCCCATGTCCACAAATTCTCGATTTTGCACATGCGTTCCTGTTCTACCCATGTGTTTCTCTGTTGCCACGTTCTTACTTCCTCCGTTTGAAATTATTTGTTACAAAAATGAACATATCTACAACAACTAAAATACATTTAGATACATTTATTTTTTAGACGAGTAATTTCAAACGGAAGGAGTAGAATTTTGCAAGCCAAAGGAGCACTGAATAGCTTTTGTCACTGCTTTGTCAGCTGTTGGATAAGATCGAGTTGACTCGACGGCGAGTCGGAAAGCTCTTCCGCTTAGGTGATTAGCTACGTGCTGCAGTTCGAAAACCGTGGGTAAAAGGGCAGCTGGGTTCATCAGCCTTCCTGGACCCCGTAATCTTGCACCCTAGGAGCTGCGAAATACACCCTTCGTTTCATAATATAAAAACGTTTTTTTTACATTAGTGTAGTATAAAAAACGCTTTTATCTTATGATACGAAGAGAGTACTTTCTTATGCACGTGCGAGGTATCCTCGAGCCCATCGGCAGAAGTTCTATTTTTAAGCTGCAATCATATAAACATGCGCTACTCTATCACTTGAAATTCGAGAGGCAGGACCGGTTCCAACTGTTGGGTTTGACCGGCGGCGATACCCAGTAGTAGTAGTTTACGACTTTAACATAGGCTCCCAGCAGCCATCCGTGAGAGCAACCCGAGCAATATTATAATCCTTGCACACGTGAGCGGTGAGCGGAGCACGGAGCAGGTCGAGCAGCCAGCGTCCATCCAATTCCAACCCCGTGGGACTGGCGTCCGCCTTTCGCCGAACCACCCCAAACGACTGGCCGGCGAAGCATCTTTGCGTTGCACCCTGCCCTGACCCCGGCAGCGGTCAAACCGGCGTCTCGCCGTTATATAAGCGCGCGGCCCGCACCTCCAGACTTCACAAACACATCAATCAAGCAAGCAGCACATTCTTGAGAGATTCTGACCAGTCTCGGACTCTCAGGGAAGGTAGAGACTGCCTCGTGAACTCACTGGTTTCGTGTGATCAAGAGCTCGGGCGTTAATCAGTTGACATGGAGTTCGAAATGATGAGCCAACAAGGGGCGCTGCTCAAAGTGGGGCTGTTCGTGTTGGTGCAGGCGCTGGTGTACCTCATCCTTGCCCAGTCCTCCTCAGTCTTCTCCACCACCAAGACCCTCGGCCTCCCCCCGGCGCGCTCCCTCAGCGCCCGCCGCATGGTCGCGCTGATCTCCGACCTGCCGCTGCTGCTGGGCGGCGAGCCCTCGCCCCGCGCCGTCTCCGTGGAGCCGTCGTCGCCCGTGCCCCTCGCCCACCAGAAGAAGGATTAGTTGTTAACCAAGCGCGACTGGCGGCAGGGACACGGACCGAGCTAGCAAGCGATCGTTGCCCAGCTACTAGTACTCGGTGCGTGCTGTAGGAGCTGTTCACGCCATTCTTTGATAGATTGGTTATTGGTTTGTTCTTTGGGATTGGATATGGAAACTGAGTTACACGCCCGTTTGGGTTTGCACAATCAAGTGACCGTATGAGATTATGTTTTGGCTACCGTGCAATCGTACGTGCTTGTGTTTTGAGGAGAAAGTTCTGACGAATGGAACCGTTGTTCGTACCATGAAACTCTCCAAATGGTTTGGTTTCCTATTTTTATCTGTGCATTTTAATGCTCAGGATGTCCTTGGATACGCTTTTTCTATACAAGAAAAGTCTTTTCTTCTTCTTCTAGGAGTAAAAGTTAAAGCTTTGTGAAGATATGAAAAAGAAAAATCACGCTCCTGATGCCTCCGAACGGCTTATGCCCTGTTTGGTTCATAAGTCTTAAGACCATTTCTAGTCCCAAATAAAAAGTTCCTAGTCCCTAAAAAGTCCCTTCATGTTTGTTTCTAGGGACTAAAAAGTTCCTAGTCCCTTCCTAGAGGTTATTAAATGACCATGTTACCCCTAGTATACAGAAAAATAACAATCAAACAGCACCATGGGGTGGCGGTGCAATGGGTGCAGGGAGGGGCATTGTTGGAAAAGTCCACAAAAAGACTCCTCTTGAGAGTCTTCTTCATTTAGTCCCAAAAAGCAACTTTTAGTCCCTAGTAGTCCCTCCTGTTTGGTTAAAAAGTCTCTAAGAGAGACTTTTTCTAGTCCCTGCACCAAAAAGTCCTTGGAAACAAACACCCGATGGAGAGACTACCCTGTCACCATTCACTTGTGTTTGTGTTTTTTTTTGAAAAAGAAAATATATTAATATCGCAGATACCAATTACATCCGGCCTCTGCACCAACAAGATGTCAAAAAATATCTAGAATGCACACAACCAAAAAAGAAAATAAAAGGAGTAAAAAAGAAGGAAAAGAAAGACCCTGTCACGGTGATCAATCACCCACGATAGTAGCACTCTAACCACCATCAAAGACATCACCCGGACTATAAAGAAGGTTCTCCAAAAGCAACGTCTTAGGAAAGAAACAATGCACAAGAGTTGTCATTGCCCGATCAAGGATCGTAGGTTTTCACCTTGGAGAAAGACCGTGTTTCCTCAAAAACAATGCCTTCAGCAAGGTCATTATCAGGCACAACCAATAAGGGCCAAACCTCGGATTTTCACCCTGAAAATTACGACTCGGTACTCAAAGGAACACCACTAACTAAGAAGTCCTCCAATGCTGCCACCCCCACTTGCGAAGGCTACTAATACATTTCATGTACCACCAGGCTCACAGGAACCCGTTCTCGGTCTGGATGGGAACAACTCCCGCAAGCCAAGTCGGAACAACTGTCTATGAAGCAAAATCTTCATCGTATCCAAGACCCTGCCTTCGCCACTTGCAAGTCCTCCAATCACGCCATGGCATTTTTCGAATGGGTTGATCCCTTGGAAATCTTGATCAAGACATGTCCCAAGATGTCAACAAAAACAGAACTTTGCGATACCCCGATGAAGCTGATTATGCCGATGTTGCAGGTGCACACGATCGGTCCTTATCCAATCAAGGTATCCAAAGAGCATAAATGCCAGTCCTTGTTTTCCTTTGAAGGAGAAGCCCAAAACTCGCCGATGGGTAGACCAAAGAGGACTCTGGGGAGGGAGGAGGCTGCCACCATGTCCGGGGCCGCCGCCACAACGCCAAACTGGTGCGTGCAAAGCCACTGACCGGATGCCACAGACCGTCGATGTCACGCACCAGTGCGATCTGACCAGCTGACGTCGGGGCCAGGCTTGTCTGGCCACTGCACACTCACGAATTTGGGCGGTAGGACACAACTAAGATCGGGACGGGGTCCCAGATCTGCCCCCCACTGCCGTTGATGTGGCCACTATTCAGCGCCTCTATGGGCAGCCCTGCAACGAGAGGCAAGCCACCCGCGAGCTGCATTGACTGCCGGACTGCCATGCAACATAGGGCCATCTTCTCTGCGAGATCCACATCGTGTCAGAGGCCACCGCAGACTCGTAGATTTGGGCGACATGACGCAACCAAGATCGGGACGGGGTCCCAGATTGCCGCCATGGGCAGCCCTGCAATGAGAGGGAGGCCGCCCGCGAGCTATGCCGACCGCCAGACCGCCGTGCACCATAGGGCCATCATCTCCATGATATCCACAGCGGGGCAGAGGAGAACCGAACAATAAAACACACCCCGTCGTCACCTTCCTAGGGCAGGTGCGGCTTCATGGGCGCCCCCTCCGTTGATGGGCAGCTACGGAGGACATGGATAGGAGGCCTGGCGGCGCAACTAGGGTTTCTGTTAGGACTGAGAGTATATCGACCAGAGGGGGTGGGTGAATGGGAGATTCAAAAATTCTTGTGAATGTTTTGATTTGATCCCAAACACATCAGCGAAAATAAGGTACGGTAGATATGATCTCAATCAAGCTTGCTACTGAGGAACAAAACCTTCGATATAGGATGCAATGATGGTTCAAACATAGGATACAAGAGGCTTGATGATAACGATGGTAATGCAATATGTGAATAGATATAGTATCATGACAGAATGATAAGAGTGCGACAATATAAGCAAAGAATGATAACAGACACAACGAAAGAGAATTTGAATGATATGCAACAGAGAGTAACTAATCAGATAACTATCGTCACAGAGCACATAAGAACACTGCCGAAAGTAATGAAGTGAAGAAAATAGAACCAGTGGTGCTCGATGGCGACAAAGAGATTTGGTAGACCACTTCACCCTTCTTCCAAAGGGCTACGTCTGGTTGGAGGGGTTGTGACTTAACATGGAAGATAAACTCTCTTCACCCTATTCTCCTTTAACTCAAACCTGATCAGACTTTAGTTGATTTCACTCAAGGTAGATACTTGTCGGCGATCTCCAAACCTTCAGACGACCTTCGCGAACCACAATCACTCTTGTTTTTTTGGAAAGCTTAGGACAGTGAGGGCACCCCCACTGACTTTATATTCAAACCTCAACACACAGAATCACATGGATGAGCTTACATGGAGTGTAAGGGTTAAGAGAGTCCTATACATCAAGGGTATAGGAAGAAAAGGCAGAGCTCTAATGTTGTTTCTAAACAAGAAAGCAACTAAATCGAAGCAACAATCTGCTCTACAAATGGCACTAGGGCCTCTTTGACTCTGTGTCTCATCATGCCAGTCATAGTGGAACCTCTGTCGCCACCCATCCACCATGGGGACGATCCCTCTAAAGTGTTTATTGTTATGTTCCTTCCAAATGCCCCAGGCCGCTATGATGAAAATGTCCATGAACATGGGACTGTCCCACGCGCCCTTCGCTGCATGCACGAGCTGCAATCTGTTACCACCCAAGGGCCACATGACCCCCAAC